ATAAGGGTAAATAGTACCAATCTCTCAAGGAAGTAAAATTAACTTTTGAAGAACTGGAGACACAAAGGCAAGAAAAATGAAAGTAAAAGTAGACAAAACAAAAACAAACACATCCCTGTAAAGCTCAATAATGACATTGCTCCCTCCCAGAGGTAAAGACCACCTAGCAAAAACCCAGTATCAGACATGAGAAGCCTCTTTAGTGTTGTTGACAATAGTTGTCCACGAGACTCCCAAAACACACAGCCTGTTGCTGTTGCCCTTGGTTACTGCCAGAGGCAGAAGCTAAGGTCCCTATTGCTGAAGGCACCATGCACTTCAGACACAAGACATAGAGAATCCTGAGTTAGACGTGACCTAAATGCCAGAAGGTGCCATGAAATGTTCCAAAAGGAGGTAACCAAAAGCCCTACAAAACTATGATGCCTACAAACCACATCAATGACTACCATGGTGTCATACGTATACAGTACTGACACAGATACTCTGATATGGGACATATAGAAGGCTCTCTACTTTCACTTAGCATCCACTGAACAAAAGTGTAATTAATTGCCTGGCCCTAGAAACCTACCAAGTACCCATGGGGCTAGAGGATATTTTAGAACACCTACAAGCACCACTTTATTAAAGTAGCATAGTCTCTTAACTATACTGTTAATATTGGATACATCTATAAAACAACTCTGGCACCCAAGGCTCAGGCAGTTTCCAAAAAATGGGGCAGAAAGATGTAAAACCAGAGGATCAGAGAGATTTCTGTGAGACTGTCTCCAAGTAATGTTTAAGCTCTCTCTAACATAGTTGCCTAACATGAGCTGAAAACAACACAGACATGATAAAGGGGATGGGACCAAGACCACAGGCCTTAACCAACTGCACAAAAAACAAAACAAACAAAAAAACAAAAACTGTAGGAAACTAAGTAGTGCTCAATGTGAGAGAAAGTCTCCCCCAGGGAAGAACACACCAACTAGTCATCCAGTACCAAATGATCATCCCTGAAAACATACATACACGTAAAATTATACAGACAGAATGGGTTGTAATTAGTAATACATATGTAAGTACATATATGCATGTAACAAAAGAGATCATATATTTAAGGGAGTAAGGAGTGGTATACAGGAGAATTTAAGGGAAAAGGGAGAATAATGCAATTATACTATAATCTCAAAAACATCAGAGGAAATATGAAAAAATTCTAGCTATAAAAATAAGTCTCTAAATAGTTAGGCAACATGTTTTATTACTATGCAGTCTTACATTTTAATTTCCTGGAGAACAATTTTATTTTACAATGTGAAACCATAATAGTCACCTGTTTATTAGAAATAAAATCCACCACACTTTTGTTTTGTTTTGTTTTGTTTTCTGCAAAATGTCCTGTGAAAGACTTAAAAGAACAATACGTGCGGAAATTACTTTCAAATGGAATGATAATGGTGTACTTCAAAAGGAGGTCAGGCAGTGGATCAGTATTTATCCCTAGTATACAAATGGATTTTGGGAACCCATTCCACATAGAGGGATACTCCCTCACCCTAGACACATGGGGGAGGGCCTGGGTCCTGCTGCAAATGGAAGGACCTGCTGCAAATTGAATATCCCTAATGGAAGGCCTTGCCTTCCCTGGGAGCAGAAGTGATTGGGATGGGTGTTGGGAGGGGATCAGGGAAGGGGGGAAGGGAGAGGGAACTGGGATTGACATGTAAAACAAGCTTGTTTCAAATGTGAATGAAAGGGGGAAAAAAAGGAAAACACACACACACACATACACACACACACATACACACAAACACACACACACACACACACACACACACACACACACAAACACACGCAACTGTAAAGGTCAATAATGCAAACCAAAAATAAGTACAAAGGCTTTATATACCATGTTATCAGCGAGGTGGTGAAAAATTCAGTTCTTAGTGTGAGTTATGCCTTTCCTAGGCTCTCCTGTATCCTGCCTACTTATCCACACCAATTAACTCTTCCTGTCCTATTATTTCCCTTTTCTCTTCATACCACTTGTGTTCTATTGCCACTCCCTTTAAATTTTCCCCATTCCTGACCTAAGTAAGGTCCCTTTCGGGTTTCCTCACTTCACAGGAACTCCCGTTTAAATGCAAAAATCTAAAGATTCAATGCTAAGACCCACATATGAGACAAATGGTGCAGCATTTGTCTTTCTGGGTCTGTGTCATGTCAATAATTACTGTTTGGGTAGGTACGCTGGCACATTCCTTTAATCCCAGTACTTGGGTGTTGGAGGCCAGCCTGGTGTACATAGTAAATTCCAGGCCATCCAAGGCTGCATACTATTTCAGAGTAACATAAAACAAACAAACAAAAAGAGCATTACAAGAACATGTTTACCAAATGACTCACCAATTAGCTCTCATCTAATTTCAAGTACCACCTCTAAGTTCATAGGATTATCAATATTTTCACCTGTGTAAACATGTGAGAAATTGTTAGTCCCCTGGGATACTGGGACTGTGAGTTGGATGAGTAGATAAGAAGGCACTTTTGCCAAGCCTAATAACCTGGATTTGATCCCTGGGGCCCTTGTATTTTGCTCTTAGAATATGTCCTCTGACATCTGCACATATGCTCTGATTGGCGCACACACACAAAAATACATTTTTCAATACAGGATGAATTCCCCTCCCCCAATAACAGTCTACTCACTGGTGTCAGATACAAAAAACATTTATTAACAGGGAAGTAGTCTCATTTTATTTATGTATGTCAGTGTCAAGTACACAGTTACAATGTCACTTCTCTTAAGCATATTGTGGAATTTCATAATGTGTACAAAGAAAATATTCAACAGGCCATTCCAATTAAATGACTCACTTCCTTTAAGACTTCGTACCTTTTATAAAGCTTTGGCTGGAGCAAGTTTCCTAGCTTCCCTTATCATTAAAAAAAAAAAAAAAAAAAAAGTAAGACCATATGGTTACAGTAAATAACACTAAGTACAATTTATTTTTATGTAAGTTTATAACATTTACCAAACTAGTGTCACCTATCAAAAGTTGGTACTAAAAGTTGTACTAAAAAATAAAACAATACAGTATATCTCTAGACTGTTAGAAACACAAAGTTTATAAAGTATTAAGTTTATTTGAATTCTTATAGTGAAAATTTTCATTAAACATATACCTTATTATATTGCTTCAGGAGAAAGGGAAATTCAAGATTAAAAGATTCTTAAACATAAAGAATAGATTGTTTCAGAAAAGAACACTGAATAGCAACTAAAAATCTGCAGGGGATGCACTCAGTTGCTCTTAACTTTAGTTTGCAACATCTTAATGCCCTTGTACTGAAGGAATTATGTATTTAGTACTGAACATAAATCTAGCATCTTTCAGAGGATGCCAAGCACCAGTTACTTGGGGTTCTAATCCTATGAATGTAACTTTTGAATATAATTATCAGTGGCACAAAAAAAAAAAAAAAAAAAAAAAAAAAAAAAAGAAAAAAAAAAAAAAAAAAAGAGGTTAAACCTGGCAGCAGAATTAGAAGGGAATGCCATAAGAGACAAAGGTGCTATTATCAAGTAAGAAATTATTTTTCTTCAAGAATCTCACAACGTATCAGATACACACAAGTTCATTGAAGGAACAAAATAAATGTCATTTTTTTCCCCAAAATTCCTAAGATTCAAAACCAATAAACACATAACTGTTTAAAATGTTAACTCTCAAATAAAAAGTAAGAAAACCAACTAACACATATGCTATCTTTTCAAAAACAAGTGTACTATGAAAACACACACACACACACACACACCCAGACACACACACACACAGGCAAAGGCTGGCTGAATTTGCTGCTAGCTCTCTGTTGTCATAGGTTTTAGTTTCTAAAATGATATCACAACAACATCTGAGTTTTTATTTTCATTCAAGTCAGGATTCAGAGGAAAATAAAGAGCTGGGCCTATATCTTCATCCCATAAAATTTTAAGTAAAATGCTAAAAATTTATCAAAATATTTTATCTTTATAAACACCTCAGCTTCTGCTTTTCAAGTATCAAAGTCAGAGATAATAACATTACTTCTAGTAAGGTCCTTAGTTTTCTTCTAGTTATCCAGCTTAATTTTAGCTCTTCTGAATACCAAGTATACAAATAACCCTATATATCTCATCATTTTTAAGTTACTACAAATTGAATCATTGCTATCACAGATTTGTTGTTGGCAGGAACAGGCAGATCACTTAATATTTAAACTGAATTTCAATTTCAGTTTGTAAAATGCTCTATAAGCCCCAATTTACTTTTATAGGTCAGCAATGTTCAGTTTTTATTTATGAATAAAACTGCAAGACAAACTACAAAGTATTAAAAATCAAGAATAAGCAAAACTTTTCATTAAGATTGTCTAAAATTCTGCTATAGAGGAAAGGAAAAAAAATCCTAAGTACTATAGGCAAAGTCAAAATGACCACTAAGCAAAAATGACAACTAAGCCCAAATCAAGTCACCCTCCTAAAAATCAGTGGTGGTAGACACTCAAATAGAAGTTGCATTGTCAAAAATCTGATAAGATTAAGACAAAGAAATATTTTCCATAGCTGGTATTCAGACAGAATTCAGAGATTCAGAAGAATCTCTCGTTTATGCTGGCAATATCTCAATGTGTAGTTTGTATCAAAGTTACTTTCCATGTTAACAACACTAAGGTTTTTCCTAGAAAATATATCAAGATGAGTAAAGTTTGGTAGTAAGGCTTCTCAGACAAAAAAATTCAGCATAGAATCAAGGATTATATTGTTAAAGGAGATTTGTTTCTCTCACTTAGTAAATAAAGTTTGCAGGATATAGGAAACCCTACCGAATAAAATGTAGAGTCAAATAGAAACAATATTGTATTTATACTGACTTAACAAATTCACAATATTGGGTGTGAGCAAGGATGAATGATTTTAAAAATAAATTTCCTGTTTCAAACTCAACACCTGTACCGATTAGGATATATTCTTAGGGCAGGTCAACTTCTTTATGATGTCTCATTGTATGCTGATTCTTTTCCGAGGGTCTCCGGAATCCTTTCTTGCAGTGCTCACAACAGTGAGGATAGTCTTTGGTATGAATGGAGATAACGTGTCGCTTGAAGCCTGAGGCATCTGTAGTGCTATATTCACAGTACTCACACTGATACATTTTCCTGCCACTGTGTGTCTTCATATGATTTTGAAGCTCACACTGTTGTCGAAATCCCCTTTTACATCTCTTACACTTGAATGGGACACTCATTGTGTGAACTGAGAGAATATGGCGACTGAGCACAAATGGATCTGGACTCTTAAAGTCACAGCGTCTACACTGGTGCATTTTTTTTACTTTTATGGGTAGCTTTTATGTTTCTTGAGTTCTGAAGGCCTATGGAACCCTTTGATGCACATCTCACACTTATGAGGATAGTCCTTTGTGTTAACTGAAATTATGTGTCGCTTCAAATCACTTGAGTTTGAACTCTTATGGCTACAGTGCAAACACTGGTGTGTTTTGCTTTCTTGGTGGGTAAGAGCATGTTGCTGTGCCTCTTTAGTGTCTGAGAAAGTCAGCACACAGATGTCACATTTCAATGGTATCTCCTTTCTATGCTTAGTTTTTACATGTGTTTTCAAGTTAGAGGAGTCTGCAGACTTGTACTCGCAATACTGGCATTCATAGGGCTTCTCTCCAGAGTGAACGCGTATGTGCTTTTTGAGCTCTGACGGGTGACGGAAACCCTTACCACACTCTACACAAATGTGAGGAAACTTCTTGCTGTGGACTGCCAAAAGGTGGCGATTCAATAACGCCTGTTCATCTGTTTCATAGTCACAGAACTTACACTTGTATGTTTTGCTGGCTTCTTTCTCTCCATGAGTTGTTTTGTGAATACGTAAAGCCCCAGCATGGGAGAAATGGTTCCCACACTCATCACACTCTGTGTCCTTTCCAGCCTTACTGGTCATCTTGTGCCTCTTCAGGTGATCATGTAAACTTATCCTCTTGTTGGTACTGTAATCACAGTCAGTGCAGTGGTATTTTTTTATTGGCCAAGTGTTCAGGAATGGTTTTTCAAGTGTCTTTTCAAGAAACTTTTAGACTTAAATTTCTTTCCACAAAACACGCAAGGATAGACTGTTAAAGGTTGTCCATCAGGACCAACAATTATTGCTAAAAAGACGAAGAGACAAAGGCAAATAGTGAAGCTTTATTTTATTTTTCATTTCTTCATTAAGTCTAAAGTAGGTTCCTAGCTTTGGGAGCCCATTCCCCAATGGAGAGATACTTTCTCAGCCTAGATACACAGGGGAGGGCCTATGCCCTGCCCTAAATGATGTGACAGGCTTTGATGATACCCCATGGGAAGCCTCACTCTCCCTGGGGAGGGGATAGGGTGTGGGATGGGGACATTGGTTGGGGTCATGGGAGGATGGGAAAAAGAGGAAACTGGTATTAATAAGTAAAATAAGATTGTTTCCACTTTAAGTAAACATTTATAAAAACATAAAATTAAAGTATGTTCTTGAACTTTATCAGTTTTTAACTTGTCACTGCTTTTCAATATTCATATTGCAATCACAAGAAAGAACTGGATCCACTATGACTAGATTAACATCATTCCTACCAATTTTTTTTTTAAATAAAAATGAAGCCTTATCAACTTACAGACCCAAAGGAAATAATTTGTAAGTAAAGTTAAACATTTAATTAACTTTATTACAATCCAAACTTTCAATAATCTATGACATTCTTCAACAACACCTACAAAAATTTAATGTAGAAAGCTGTACTGTCCCTATAAACAACCAAGGAATGAATATATGCTGCTAACATATATTCCCTGGTTTCTCTAAGGGATGTCTGTTTAAATGCTCTGGTGGTAGCAAATGCCTGTAGCTCATGTATTGAGTGGCAGAAGGATGAAAAATTCTTTGCCAGGCTGAGCTGCAAATGAAGAATTTGTCCTCAAACAAAACACAGAAATAAATGCACAAAGAAAAGTGTTACTGTTTAATCTTCACATTGAGTAAACTAACACTGGAATTAGATGGTACATGCCAATAATTATGGACAGGTTGAGGAAGCTGGATTGTCACTAGTTTGAGGTCAGTCTTGGTTAATGTGTGAGACCCCACCAAGAAAGAGTAACACATTTTATGGATTTCTATTCTGTTAAAACAAAACAATCAGAGAGTTAAGTTCCTTTTTTCTTAACTTCTGTTTTACAGCCTGTTTTATAACCTCACTAATCAATTCACGACTATCAATTGAGATGGAAAAATTAATAAGTAAAAGATATAAAGTAGGGCTTAAGGCAAGAAGAGTACACTAGAGAGAACAAGAATTTCTACAAGTAGACAACTTCATCACTACAGAGGAAAGAGCCCACATGCTGTTCTCAGGATATAAAGAAGAAACCCAGAGCCCAACACCAGCATCCTCCCTAGCTAATTATCTTGAGAACAAGGCCACTGAGCCTGTCCACATTATAAAGAAATAGGTTTGAAGAGAAAACTGACTGTAGAGAAATGTCCTGAGACCTACAAGACTGACCCCAACTAACAATCTGATCATCAGTGGAAAGGCTACCATAAATGCCCTTCCCTGATAATGAGATTGATGACTAACTTATCCACCACCATAGAGGCCTCATCTAGTAGCTGATGGACACAGAAGCAGACACCCACAGCTAAACACTGAGCTGAATTGGAATCCAGATGCAGAGAGGGAGGACAAGACCAGGCTACAGAAACCCACAGAGACAGCTGACCTGAACAAGGGGGAGTCAATGGGCCCCCAGACTGATAGCTGGGAAACCAGCATTGGACTAACTCAGACCCCCTAAACGTGGGTCTCAGAAGGACCTCTGACAGTGGAACCAGGATGTATTATTCCTGGTGCACCAAAGGACTTTGGGAGAACATTCCCCATGGAGGGATACTCCCTTAACCTAGACTCGGGGGGGGGGGGAGGGGTTTAGTCCCTACTCCAAATGACTTGACAGATTTAGATGACCCCTTGTGGAAGGCATCACCCTACATTTGGAGTAGGGGGGATGGGAGGGGAGGGTGGTTGGGAGGCATGGGAGGGTGGGAGAGAGGGAGAGAGGACGAAAGGAAGAAAGTGAGGGAGAGAGAGGGAACTGGGATCGATGTGTAAAATAAGAAAAATAAATTAAAAAAAAAGTTTGTACTCTATTGAATGTCTGTAACCTTGGAAACCTTTTGAACTGAGGCTAGTGGTCTCAAGCCTCCCTTTCCATTTTCCCTTTTAAAAATGCTTCGCATTTGTGAGCATGCATGCACCTTACTCTTCCTATAGAGTGAGGAGGTCCCAGCCTGTCTGGTTCTTGGCAATAAAAACCGTTTGCTTTTGCAATCAGGAGTCACTTCCTTGGAGGATGGCAAAACCCATTAGGCACAACAAACTCTGTTAATGGTATATAATTGTAAGTTATTTGTCTCAGAGTTTCTTTTACTGCAGTGAACTCCATGACAAAAAAAGCACTTGGATAGGGAAGGGATTATTTGGCTTACACTTTCATGTCATTGTTCATCACTGATGGAAGTAAAGACGGGAACGGAAACAGGGTGGAGAACCTGATGTCAGGAACTATTGCAGAGGCCATGGGGGAGTGCTGCCTAATGGCTTGGTCCCTGTGTCTTCCTCAGCCTGCCTTCCCACAGAACAAAGGAACACCAGCTCAGGGGTGGCTCTGCCATGGAAGAGACCTTGCCTGTAATCCCTCAGACTGTCATTCCAGCCCTGTCCTGTCCCAGGGAATTACTTCCTGGGATCCAGCCACAGGTCTTCTGCAATGTCCTGGAAAGAGGAGAGGAAAGTGACTCTGGCATGTGTGCTAAGTGTCCTTCTCCAGCATCAGGAGCTTTGAGCACTCAGGCAGCTCCATTCAGGAGCAAGGTATCCAGAGGAGCTCCACCTCAGCTAGCATGTTGTCTGCTGGGCAGCAGTGGGCACACAACCAGTCCACGATCATGAGCCTCCCCTGGGGTTCCTGCCAGCAGCTGAGAGTGACAGGGCCACAGTCTGCATACCACTCCACAGTGCTCTATACTGATTCCTCATACCCTGCGGGTGGGAGGCACACAGCCTGTGTTCCAGCATGTAGATCCCCCCCTTCCACCCTAGCAAACAGCCCCAAGTCCTCAGTGTGACTCCCTGTCAGGGACAGACCTCTTACCAGACAGCTTGATCCTGTACTCCTTTCAAATCAGTCTATTACAGAAGTAAGGCTTGATGGCAGAGACAAAGGTCATCCTGAGAGGTACTACTTTGCTGGGCACACTTCCCCACCTGTCAGAGCAGGGCAGAAAGCAGAGGACATTGTTGTGTAGCACACCCTGCACAGAGGATCCTCCCTAGCTGGGATGTAAAGCTGCCCCAGCAGGACAAGAGCCCTAACAGTACCATGCCCACTGCCGGGCCACATCCCCGGCTGATGACCTGCAAGTTCAACAAGGAGCCCTGCGGGTCTTCATCTTGCTCCCAGAGGAAGCCTGAGATCTTGGGGTGGTTCATCATCTGCCTTTGGTCGAGGAGTCCTAAACACTGGGAAATGGTGAGCAGAACCTATCCAGGCACAAGAGCCTCTCCTCTGGCCCAGGGAAGCCACAGGTGCTACTCATGGCCCCCTCTTTCTGGAGAGGGTTTTCGGTCCTTTTATGGGGCAAACATGACCCAGTGAGGAAGGACAGGGGAAAGTGCTTTGGTGACATAGACATAGGTCACAGGCATTTACTTTAGTATTCACCCCTGAGCAGAAGGCAGAGGACCCTTGCCCAGCCAGCAGAGTTAAAACCCAAAGGAAAGTGATGGTTGCAACAGGAATTGGTTTCAGTCAAACTTCAAAATGGACCTAAGTCACAGAGCGTGAGAATCCACAGTTAGCCTACCCTGCACAGCCTGACTTGACATGGTCTCTGCCATGGTGAAAATGGTGGCCCATAGTAAACTCAAACTGAGTGAGGTTCATAATTGGAAGACAATGACCCATATCCCTACACTAAGGTGATACCAATAAGTATTATCTTTCTTTTTCTTTTTCTTTTTAGCTCACACTCCCTGGACATGGATGGTTTCTCAGGGAATCAGTAAAAGTGCTAAAGCTCTCAAAGACATCATTCACAACACAATCACACAAACACACACTCTCACACACACAATCACACGCAGGCACACACACACACTCACACACTCACTCACACACACAGAGTGAGACACAAACACAGTCTCCATGCAAAGATTCACAATCTTTACAGACACACACACAACAAGTACTGTCGTACAGAAAATTAGAAGAGAGCACACAGTGACTAACACACCCTCCCAAATAGCTAAATAAGTATTATAGCTATAAACATTTTCATATACAGAGAGAGGAATGTCTCTCTCTCTCTCTCTCTCTCTCTCTCTCTCTCTCTCTCTCTCTCTCTGTGTGTGTGTGTGTGTGTGTGTGTGTGTGTGTGTGTGTGTGTCTCTCTCCCTCTCTCTGAAGCCAAGGCCAGGGAATTGTGCAAAGACCTTCACCATTTGGACTAGTTACTGCCCCTATTCCTATGGCAACATGGACCCTCTTTACTGCTTTTCAGGGAGAGTCTCCAGTGTCCCCCTCATAGACAGTCACCCTGGTAAGGATACTGCTGTGTCCCAGAAGCCAGGGATGCTTGGATGACAACCAGACTGTGTTTTCAGGTGGGATCTGAGCCTCTCAGCCACATCCCTCCTAGGAGCTCATAGGTCCTGCTAGCTTGATCATTGATAGAGCACATGAGGTGCTGCAGCAGCTGCAACTCCTCCAATGCAGAGTGCAGCTTCCCTAAGCCCCTTGCAGGCTCTGCCCACGGGTTTTCTGGACTTCCTGTCTGATCTTAACCTCTTCTTGTGGCAGCTTGTCCTGCTCTTATGTCACCACCTCCGGAACTTCCTGAAAATCCAACATCAGCAGCCAGGCGTTTTCCCCAGGGACCCTTCATCTTGTCTCCCTGTCTCCACGGGGAGCAGAGCTGTCTCCTCACCAAGGACCCCAAGGCTGTAGCAGCTCCCCTCCTGCC